TTTCTCTTCTACAGAATAAGCTTTATTTTTCTCTTTGAGGATATTCCAAAATCCTGTCATAGTTTCCTTTCTGACATCTCTAAGACTCATCTTTCCCCATTGGTCTCCAGTAACCAAAACCCTTTCCTATATTTTGGCTGCCTTAGCGCTGCTCCTTATAAATATTCTCCACTGTGGTCTGCGTTCTTGAGTTCTGCCTCTGCTAAAGCAATCTCCTAGGAGTCCTCATGACAACACATTTTAAAAACGCCTTTGCGGGTCTCTCTCTGCATTGAATCTGACTTCAGGAGACTTTACTGTTCGTTGTCTGATTATTTTTTCCCCTGTTGGCTTCCCACATTTCTCCTTAATTTCTTAATACCTGCCCTCCTCATATGTGTTCTTGTAATTCCTCTCATTCACATTTGTTTTTCTAGGCAGTTTTAAAGCTGTCTCCTCCTGAGCCAAGAACATTTTCTTTCCTTTCTGTATGCCAAGACAAGCTCCACATGCATTTTGTCCTGAAACTTCCCCCTTTCCTAGCCTTCTTTCTCACTTATGTTAACTTCCCTCTCTTCAAGATACCAGTATATCTTTCTAAAATAAGGTGATGTTCTAGATACATGAGAGAGAATACGTAGACGTCTTCTGGACGTCATTTATTTGGGAAAAACCTCTGCTATTCGTCCACCATTCCGTTCTGTTATGGCCATCCCTGCCGTCTCTGCTGGAGGCTCACAACAGCAGCTGCCTGGGGCTCGTCTCTTATCACTCCTTCAGCCATCTTTTCAAGCTATCTGGCCTTCACAGCAGCACTGCCAGAGACGCCTTCCGATCTGATCCTTCTTCCTTCTTTAACAAAACAAAGCAACCAGGCTGCTGACTTCCCCTGACTTGTAGAAGAAGGAATCCTCAAGTCTCCTCACACCCCTCCCATTCTTGACTTACTTCCCCCCCCCTTATCTCAATCTTACCTCCTACATCTTGCATCTCAGTTATGCAGAACGGGTGGGGGTAGTGACTGCTACAGCCAAACTCGATTTGTACAATTCTTTGTTATCCTTTAAAAAGGAAATTAAAAATTGCAAAAATCTTATTTTATTGGTTTCGGCTCTGAAAATACGGCCGCGATGCTGCCTGCCTCCCATGCTTTTTAAAGCAAGGGTGGTGGTCAACCGTGGCGGCCCCTTTTGATAGAGTGGACTCTCTTAAGCCTTCCACACCTTCTGTATCTATTAGTATCCCCAACCTTGAGACAGAGTGTCATTTTCTATTCCTCATCGCTTTATGCTTTGTGTTTTAAGAAAGATTATGAGCTTGGTGCAGTGCTAGATGTCTGTGATCTAAGTATCAGGACAACAGAGGCCAGAGGATAGTGAATTTGGGATCAGCCTGGGCTAGAGAGGACAGTTCAGACCAGAATGAGCTGTTTAGTGAGATTTTTTTCCCCAAAACATAACAAAAATAAAACAAGCCAACAAACCCCAACACACACACACACACAGACGGGGGAGGTTAATATTGCTTTGCTATAGATAAATAAGAGATAGGCTGATGTTATTTTATATATAAAGAAACATTTGCAGGGCAGAAGACATTATGCTTTTATTACCCTAGTCTCTGGAGTAATAACCAGTCTGGGTATCTAGTGACTTGTCGCTAAGCATCTCTGTTGCAATTCTGGTTTCACCAGTTGCTGGTTGTGTAGAGTGTGAACACTCAGCAGAGTTTTGGTAAAGATTCTGTGAGATAATCTGTGCAGAGAAGTTAACAGAAATATTGGGAAAGTGCTCATATTGTTATTATTATTACTATTTGTCTCCAAATTTAATGGTAGAAATGTCAAAGCCATGAGAGACAAGATCTGGAGAAGAGGCTGTGTGTTTCCTGTCCACAGCTTCCTAGATATGGGCATGGTCAAGTGATTTAACCTCGCTATGCTTTTATTTTGAGGCTGTTTAAAATCTTTTTTGGAGGGGAGTGGTTGAGACAGGGTTTCTCTGTGTAACAGCCTTAACTGTCCTGGAATTCACTCTGTAGACCAGGCTGGCCTTGAACTCACAGAGATCCACCTGCCTCTGCCTCCCAAGTGCTGGGATCAAAGGCGTGTGCCACCACTGCCTGGCAGGTGTTTAGAATCTTAATAATAACAACAGTACAATAATATCAGTCATATCTTTGGTCTTCAGCTATCATCTGACACACCATGGCACAGACACGAATTTGTACTCTGTGTTGTGGGTACCAGCCACTTACTAAGCGGTTGACAAATAAATGCTCCTAGCATAAATCAGCTTTCCTTTCTCTTGTCAAGAGGATGCCACCTGGTAGTCATAAAGACCCAGGGAGCCAGATAAAATACTTGCATGTGATATGAGGCACCCATACTTCTTTATGGTTTTTTTTTAAATTGAGATACAGCTAGAAACTGTAAAATTCACTATTCAAGTGTGCAGTCCAAATACCCATCTGTAAGCTGGCTACAGAAGATTCATCTAAGGGATAGTGAGAAACACAGATTCCAGACTTTTCCTCAGGCTCACTGAATCACAGTCTTCTGCACACAGTTTAGGATTTACAAAGGTGATTTTACATGTCAGGGAGCTGGAAATTGTTGTGCTATGGAATATGTTTATATGGTACTGATCCATGTTCCTTCTCAATAACATTGCTCTGTAATGATATCCCATGTCTCTCTGGTGTATACATGTATTTGTGTGCGTGTGTGTGTACATGGATGTGGGTAAGTCTGGAGGCTAGAAGTTGGTGTTGGGTATTTTCTGCTCTTCCTCGTATTTTTGAGGGAGTCCCCCTGAATCTGAGTATCATAGATTGAGCAAGGCTGACTGAAGTCTGTCTCTGCCTCTGCAGCACCAGGATTAGACATGTTTAACTGTGCCTGCCTTTGACATGAGTGCTAGGGAACTGAACTCAGATCCTCATGCTTGCCATCTCCCCAGCCCTTGAATACCCATTTTCAAGTGGTTAAATGGGATTTTCTTTCTCTCCTCTTTACTTCCTTGTCATTCTCTTCTTCATCTTCCTCCTTCTCTTCCTTTTTTTTTTTTTTTTTTTTTTTTTTTTTTTTGCATTGGAAGGGATGGAGCCCAGGACCTTGGGCCATTGAGCTACATAGCCAGAGTCTTAATAGATTTTACATTAGAGAGTATTTTCTTTGTCTGTCTCAGTGTCCGCCCCTGCACACAATCATACGTTAAGTGGGGCTGATCACACGATGGAAGGCCAGTTTACATAGTTTTGTGATATTTGGGCTCAGATGATGACCCTTCTGGTCCTCACTATGGGATGGTTTCCTCATACAGAATGCCAGGAACTTCTTAGCATACAGATTCTCATGCCAGGCCACAGATACACCAAGCCAGACTGTTGTCCAGGAAAGGAAAGTTAGTAGCCAGATGACACCAATATGCTGCCTGGACTTTGCAAAGGATGGTCTCTTTGTGTGTGTCTGCAATAAAAGCTGTGTTGTGCTCAGGAGAGTTTACTTGGGCCTTGCTGTGAGATGGGATTTGGAAGAACTGGGCTTAGCTGTGGCCTCACCTTTTAGTCAGTCCCTGGGTGATGCTCATTAAGCCATTACCCGCTAGATCGCTTGTTTTTAAATTGAGACAGCTCACTAGGGGAGGCCCTGGGCGTGTTAGCTTCTCTATAGATACCAACTCCAAAGGAGTTGCCTCTCCTGTGTGCTCTGAAAGCAGGACTTTTCCTTGGACTAGTCCTCACAGCTGTTTTGTTTTATTGAAGTGACTATGTGTATATCTGGTAAGATTAAGCAAGAAGCATGTAAAGACCCATCCTTTGTCTCTTCCCTCTGTTTCTTCTCAGATTCTGGTAACGTAGACTTTCATGTGTGAAAGCTCCGTTTACACACTGTCAGTAGTTTATATAGTGCTAGTGTCACTGTTTTGTTGATGTGAAGAGATGCTATGTCCAAGGCAACTTGCAAAAGAAAACATTTGATTGGGGGCTTGCTTACAGTGTCAGAGGGTGAGTCCATGATCATCATAGTGAGCAGTATGGCAGAAAGGCATGTTGTTGGTGCAGTACCTGAGAGCTTATACCTTATCCGCAAGTTGGAGAGAGAGAGAGAGAGAGAGAGAGAGAGAGAGAGAGAGAGAGAGAGAGAGAGAGAGAACCGTGAATGGCTTGAGCTTTTGAAATTCAAAGATCACCCCCAGTGACACATCTTCAAGGCCATACCCCGTAATCCTTCCCAAAACAGTTCCACCAATTAGGACCAAGCATTTAAACATTTGAGCATACAGGATCCATTCTCATTTAAACCATCTCATTGACCATTTTTCTTTTTTTTTGGTGGGTGCCAGGTTTCAAGACAGGTTTCTCTATGTAACCCTGGTTATCCTGGTACTCTTTCTGTAGAGTGGACTGGCCTTGAACTCACAGAAATCCTCCAGCCTCTGCCTCCCGAGTGCTGGAATTAAAGGCATAGGCCACCACTTTCTGACTTGAATTTGTTTGTTGTTGTTGTTGTTATTTTTTGAGACATATTCTCTTCATGTGGCCCTGGCTGGCCTGGAACTTGTTGAGTAGATTAGGCTGGCCTTGAACTCACAGAGATCTACCTGTTTCTATCTCCCAATTGCTGAGATTAAAAGTGTGTGTTGCCATGCCATGCAGCCAATTATTAATAATACTCTAATATGAAAACCATAGATTTCATGATTGGAAGACTTTCCATTTAACTGCTTTCTGTCACGCTAGAGAAACTAGAGTGAAGGATAAATTAGAACATGGGTTCTGGGTTCCTGGACTTGAGAAATGGGACAGGTGGGCACAGCAAGGGTTTGGTCATTTTCTTCAATACCAAAGTGATGGCACTGTACTTTAATGCCTTTGATGATTTTGGTTGATGGGTCTGGTCTAGTTTAGTCCTTCATCCAGACTACATTTCACAGAGGGGTTTGTTTTAGCCATGTATTGACCAAGATCCCCACTTGTGCTGTGGCTTAACTTTATTATCTTTGATTTATAATTTACAGCTGCTGAGAAGCAAAAGGAAACCTACTCCTTTGGAAGACCATTCCCCTAGGTGACCTTGCCACTGCTGTGGACCCCCTTCAACACTGGTCGCTGAACACCGACTTCAAGAAGACTCCATGGATGACGTCCAGTCTTATCAACTGCAGCTTTCCCTGTACATTTCCTTCTTTGCTTTCTTCCTTCCATTGAGGCTCTCATCAGGGTCAAATCAGAGATGACCCAACTGGACAACAGACTGGAGGACTGACCTCTTAAGAGTGCCAACGCTTAACAGTGCGCTGTCAGATCCATAGAAAGATAAGAAGAAGACAATACACTATGTGGAAGGGAGAGGAATGGCTTGATAATTACTTAGAGGCTGAGAGTTAGGAACAATCAAATTTAGAAGAATGTGGACTTTCTGTTTTTTAACTGCAGGACTTCTGTTTCCCCCCTACTGGGATGTATAATCTGGGTGTTCCTGCTGGAATGTGAGTCAGAGGAGCGGCTAAGTAGTCTAGTGGTTTTCCCACTTAGCTCTTGTCCTTTAGAAAGAGACACCAAACCATTAGTCTCTATATTGCATCTCTGTACTATACGTCTGTCTGCACTTTTGACCTGGAAGACATTGGCATTGCCTATATTGTAGGATAAAGGTCAATGATGTGAGTAGTTAAAACTCCCTTGAACTTTTTGTTTATAGACCAGGTGGTGGCATCCTGCATTGAGTGAATTAGAGCAATGGAGTCACAGTTTAAAATATTTAACTGAAACTTGACATTGCTAATTATGTAGAAGAGAAAATTATAGAACATGATCAGAATCATGAAACACAGTACAACTGGTCATATTTTGCAACCCAGCCTACCAGCTAAGTACAGGGTAGACTCTACAGAGACCAGAGCAGGTAGATATGATTCTTTCCCCATGGAGCTTACACTCTACTGTCCCTGTATGTGTGAAGAACAGTGGCTATCACATATGGGCGGCTACATGGATGTTCTTGAGCACAGGCCTCTCATTGGGGAGGAGTTACTAATGCTGTAGTCATGGCCAGTGGCCAAGAATCTCTAAGCTACATTTCATAATCAACCTGTGAATGTGAACTGCTTTTCTCTAGCAAAAGTCCTTGGATGTCAGCGGAAGTGCTTGAGGTTTGCAGGGCTTTTGTGTGTGTGTGGGGGGGGGCGGATATGAAATGATTTGAACCAGGAAAAAAAAAAGGATGGGATTCAGAACCAACTATTGCTTCTATTCTATGTAGGAAACTACAGTATGAAATATTTTGGGCTGGGAAACTGACACCTCGGTTTTAGTCCTTCATTCTCTTCTTCCCTCCCACTTTCCTTCCTTCCCTCCCTCTTTCCCACCCTCCCTCCTTTCTTCCTTTTTTTTTTTTTTTTTTTTTTGGTTTTTACGAGACAGGATTTCTCTGTATTGTTTTGGAGGCTATCGGTCCAGCCCAGCCTCGAACTCACAGAGATCCGCCTGCCTCTGCCTCCCGAGTGCTGGGATTAAAGGCGTGCGCCACCACCGCCCGGCTTCCTTTCTTCCTTTTTTTCCTTCTTTTTTTCTATAATACTAAAAAGCTATGTGACTGTAGGCAAGCCATTTCCCATTCCCTGTGGATATCTTTTGAGCGACTTTAAACCCCTTCTACCCCTGAAAGTCTTAACATCAGGCCCAAGGCTACAGTGGTCAGTTTCAAAATACCCTGCCTTCAGTTGCTAGATCATATCATCAGTTACATAAACTTTTCATTTTTTATTTTTGAGGGAGTGTCTGTTTTAAGTACACATTGAGTTATTTCCTGGGGTTAAGAAGATGCTAACACTATGTCCTGCTTCGTTTTGCTGCCTTTGCTCATGCTACGTGCGATGCATCAGGTATGTGTTGCGTTTGGAAATACATGATAAACCTGACGCTTTTCCAGACTGCCTTCACTTTTTCAGAGAGTCTCCCATTTCCTTTTACCTTCTGGCATTTTCTTTGAAGAGACACAGTCGTATCTAGGCAGTGTGCTGTGGCACCCTTGATGTAATCACCTGCGAGCAGGTGCTGCATGCTGCCTAAGCAATAGAGTCGACCACTAAGATGCGTATTCAAGTAAGCATTCAGACCCAGGACGTGTGCAGAAGAACCACCTTCCAGCCTGTGTAGAACACTGACTACTCTATTCCCTGCAAGCCTTGCCCAGGTAGAGAGAGTCTAAACCCAAACTACTGCTCAATAAATAGACATATTTTCTATGCACTGTGTTTCTCTGTATCATCCCAATGAGTTGTCACTTCTTAGAGAAGGAATGGAAAAATACAAATCAGACAAAAATATTGCTTGAGCTCTAACCTCATTAGGGATCCTCTTTTTTTCTTTTTTCTTTTTTTTTTGGCAATTTCTCATTTCTATTTCATTATCAACAAATCCACTGAACACTTATCTCTAAGTTTAGGACATATTTTATGACTATATAAAACAATGGAATTTCAGGTTCAGAGCTGTTGACATATTTGTTTTGAGTATACTATTTGAATATTTTTATTATAGGGAATGACTTTAGACATTTGAATTTAGTAACTTCAGTGGTAAAAATGAATGACTCGACTTTCAATTTTCCTTTTCAGTTCAAGTTAAAGAGTAGCTACCTCCAGGTAATGTCTACACTTCCCTATGACCAAGGGCTCTAACTGTCTCTATTGCCTTTCTTTATGTAGGTATATGTCACTGCCAAGGATAATCTTCATCTTCTCTTATTGTCTTATTTTCTACCTGGCAAGCATATTAAAAACAGTATAAAATTCATGAGATAAACTTTTCTGATAGGAGATTAGAAAAACAAGGGCCAAGATAAACAAAATAAATGAAAAAAATTAACAGTCAAATAATTTTTTTGGAATCATGCCTATTGAACCGTTTTTGTATTTTTTGTCTTATTAATTTTCTTTCTGTTTTAGTTTCTTTGTATGTTTTGATTTTTGTTGTTGTTTTTTCTTCTTTTGAAAGAGAAATAACAAGAAGTTATATGGGTAGAGAGGTGGGGAGGACCTGGGTGGAGTTGGAAAGTACATGATAAAAATATATTATCTGAAAAGAAAACCTTTAAGTAAAAATGTTTGTGTTTTTGAGACAAGAGTCACAGGTAACCCAAACTGACCTTGTCACTGAGGCTGGCTTTGAACTTCTGATTCTTTTGCTTCTGTGTGGGTAGACTGCTGGGATTACAGTCACATAACCATGCCTGGCCCATTTTCAAATAATTTACTGCTGCATTCCTCCCGCTACACAGAAGTAGAATCAGTAAATCCATATAATTCTAAACATCCTAACGAGAAGGAGAACAGTTTGATGAGCATTTTCAACACTTCCAAGTATCTGAGTATTAGCTCTGTGAAAACTAAATGTAGAGATGGTGGATTGCTCTCCCAGCTTCTCATTTGGACGGTCTGGTGTGTTGTAGATCCAGTCATTGACCTTAAAGCAGCTTGTATGCTTTCTTTATCCTTCATGAGAAAGGAAAAAATCTTTTTCCAAACAATTAAAACCTTCCTGCTTCAGGTGGGATGGAAAGAATTAGGAGTTATGTCTCCTTGTGTGTAATTGCAAGTTTCATCTTTCTTGTTTTAATGATTGACAGAAAATTGATAAACTGAGACATCTCCTTATTAGGGTTGAATGTACTCTCTTGGTAGCCCCATTACTAATTTGTTTGACTATTTTGCGCGATTTCTTACTCTGTAATGGAAAGGTTTATTAAATATGAGGGTTGCAAAGCTTTCTGAATACTAATGAACTTATTTGCCAAAATTTAAATGTTCTTCTTGTCAGTGAATGCCTGTCTCACATAACAGGAACCAAATTGAATAATGAAGAAAATTAGACTCTATCGAACCTCAAGAGAAATCATGTGTGAATTGTAATAGAAAACCGAGAGAGAAAAGGGTCATATTTTAGAAAAAACATGAGATAATTTGGATTATTTTTAAAAAAGGATGAACTTAGGGAAGCTCAGGTCTTTTCACAGAAACACACATTCATTCAATTAACTCAAAATGCTGTTTTTCCCTTTACCCAAGCAGTCTATACCCATTGCCAGCTTCAGAAAAAGAAGAGCCAGATAGGTGGGAAATGCATGCCAGGTTTCTGCACTTACAATTCACTAAACTTATTCTCATATGAGGACTTTATACACCTATGATGGAGAGGGAAAATCAATAACCTGGAAAAATGAGTACTATTCTTCAGAGGAGTTCAATAAAGAGATAGAATTTGGGAAATTGCTGCAATTCTTCCTATAAGCATAATAGAACGAGTCTGCCCCTCAATGGTGCGTTTAATTCCATCATCTTGGTGCTATGGCTAATGAAGTACATGATCATGATACCTTTCCTTTGCTAGCATCCAAGGGCATTGTGGGAACAATATGCTTGCCCTCTTGACTAGAGAGATGGTGGGGGAAATTCAGCAATCATACCAACTGCAGAGCATGATCAGGAAAACACAGGGTGTGTGTGTGGAGTAAAATCAAGCAGCTAAGTAGAAGTGAATCTGAATGGAAAGGTGACAAGGAACAGTGATGGGGAATTGGACCTTTTGTCCTTGACACAAATCTGAGAAAGGGACATGTTCCATGAAAAAGCATGAGGGAACAAGGATTTTGAGGCTGAGAAAATAAAAGAAAATAATGAATGTCTCCAGTGTTAAAAGGAATTTTCGTGAGGTCTTAAAAAATTACAGGAAAATAAAGCAGAAGGATGAGGACTTTGGAGCATGTGGAGTTTTAAAAACAAAATAAAACCTACAAAAAAAATGGAAAGCTAAATGCTGTTCCAAGAAAACAATGGATAAGAAAAGAAGCAGTGAGTAAAGAGAGATTCGGATTTAGGGTTTGTTTTCAATCCAGAAGAGGAAAGGGGTACGGCAGAAGCATCTTTTAGACATCATGCTGGACTTCATCTCCAAAGGAGAAAAAAAATGGTTAATTTATCCCAGAGTAATACTATTTTACACTGTTTTATCTGAGATGCATTTCCTTTATTGCCCCTGGTGAGATTAAAAAACTAGACCTTGATTGCTTCTTTGGGGGAGAGGGCTTTCAAGTTACAAATCTCTATTTCCCCCTTGTAATGATAACTGGATTTCAACAAGTAAGTAAATAAACTCCTGGCCTGGTCTGATGGGAATAAAGAATTTAGTAAGTAGGGAGGGAGGTGGAGGAACTAGACAATTGAGCAGAGGAATAGGCTGCACAGGCAGCAAGATGGCCCAATTTGTGAGAAAATCAAATGAATAATCGGATTTGAAGGACGCGTGCAATAAGGAGTATGGAATAATAAGATATTTAGAAAGGAGAAATTACTTGGAAAAGTGAGAGTGAATGGCGAATAATATGGGGGATGATTAAGGACTGAGGAAGGAAGACAGAGGAGGGAGGAGAGATAATTGGAATGGGAAACAAAATGTGATGGGGGGATGTAAAAGGGCAAGTTCTGATTCTGCATGGCCACCCACCGACCTCCAGGGATGGTGCACAAGCTAGACAGAAAGGGTGGAAAAGACCCACACCATTCAAGGCTACCGTCTAAAGTCAAGACAATAGAGGAAACAGTAAGTGTCACTCTTCCTTCGGAAGGAAAGCACATCTAGAGAAATGCATCAGTCTGTGTTTGCCACTCATTTATGAGTAGAATAGTCTTCGTCTCCCTTTGTAAAAGGTTGATTCATAAAAGGATTGCTATTAAGGGAGAGAAAAGGTTAGCCTTATCAGGGAAGTTAAGAAAAGATTACATCTGGAGTACCTGAAGCAGGATGTGTGTGAACAAGCCTCTTTGTGGCCCTTAATGTAAGATTTCCAAATTCAGCATCCCATGGAAGAACTGGAGAGCAGGTATCCAAATCCAAGGGTAGGTACTGAGGAGGGAGGAGGTTTAAATTGTAAATATTTTATAATGTATTTTCTGAAACATTTCATCCTCCATAAAGATGGTTGTCGTTAAGTTAAAAAGCTTCCTGGTATTGTATGAAACACTTACATGAGAGGGTTTATAGCAATGTAAAGTAGTAGACACAGTGTTAAGTGGGAAAAAAAGTTCATGTTGGGAGTTGCTCTAAATGCCTGTGATTTTTCCTTTTACTTTCCCGTTTGTGCTGAGAATTCCTTGCAAGCAAGCAGTGCAGACCCCCTTCTGGGGGAAGCTGATAAAGTAATTTAGCTGGAAAGGCTTAATGAGATAATGATGCTAAGGCCAGTTAACAACTAATAAGCATGTAACCACGAGGGATGATATTGTTGCTTATTAATTATAATGATGATGTGGAGGAGAGAGACAAGGCGGCCCTCCGCTTAGCAGAGAGTACTCAGGAGTGTGACTGACTCCCAGAGGCAGAGCTGCCATCAGAGGGCTTTAGAATTAGGTCAACATAAATGTATGGCTGCTGGTTTATATGGCCACCACAGAGCTAGAGCCCATGCAAAAAGTAACGGCTGCTTTCCTAGAGGTGGGCAGAGCTGGCCTGGAGTCCTGTGTGACTTCCAGGATAAATGCAGAGGCAGACTCCAGGCCAAGGTTTGGGGACATCTGCTTGATGATAATTCCCGAAGTATTCATTCCCTGGGTAGACAGGCAGGTGTCCAGAATGAGCAAGGTATGCTTCCAGGTTGATGTTGTTCCATTTCACCAGTGAGTGTGGAGAGTCAGACATGGAGTGTGGCGATTTGTTACTTCTGTTGCTGTCGTTTTGTTTTTCTGAAACAGGATTTCTCTGTGTAACAGTTCTGGCTGTCTTGGAACTCCAGGTTGGCCTTGAACTCACAGAGATTTGCTTGTCTCTGCCTCCCTAATACTGGGATTAAAGGCATGGTTCTTTTTTAATTTGCCTTAATGAAGGAGCCCAGAAAGAGCCTGTCTGCTCCATCCATCCTTCCCTTCCTTCCTTCCTTCCTTCCTTCCTTCCTTCCTTCCTTCCTTCCTTCCTTCCTTCCTTCCTTCCTTCCTTCTACTTCATTTTGCCCCCTGGAGGTACATTAACTATTGACTTGGCTTTAAAAGTTTGGGGTGTTAGTAATTAACCCAACTCTGATTCCTGTTTGCCCAGGACAGAGAACTGTAGTATCAACACAGTGCAGACACACTCAACTGTAGCAGTCAGGAAGGTAGGAGCAGACAGGCAGGTTGTGAAAGTGGCAGATAAACTGTTATAGGGAAGTGCACTAGGCTTTTGGGAACCTTAGGGCTCCTTCAGAGAGGCGTAGGACGGGGAAACACAGGTCCAGCTTGGGAAAACTGATTGGGGGCCTGGTAAGGTGTATGAAACTCACCTCCTTATCTCCCGTCTAGCCGGACAGTTCTGGGTGGGTCCTGGAGCCTCGGCTATTGCCTACTGTTTTGCTGGGTCATTTGATCCACCTCTGCAGTGACAGGGTGATTTTCCATACCTTCTGGTGCTGTTATTGGCGAAATGAGGGCCATGCCACAGGATTTGATTTGGGCGATGTGATAATGCATACTGTATACATTATAGTAGCAGGGAATGATATTCTTACTACCAGCTTCTTAAGGGACATTAATTTCATTTTTAATTAAATGTGTAGTTTGAGAGTGCCAAGAGGTGAAAAAGGATGGGGGACAGGAAAACAGGGAACATCTTTACTTTTGACCTTCATACCAGTTTTGTGACCTTGAGCAAGACCCTTGATCTTCTGAACCTTGCTACCTCATATATAAAATGAAGAGTTACTGAGGAGGATCTTAAAAGTCATAAAGCTATATCCACATTTATAATTCTATACACATTATAGAGGCAATCCTAGAGACCCTTCATGAGAGAAGCAATTGATCATCTCTACTGACTTAAGTCTGTGGTTCAGAGTAGACAGTTAAGGTCAGTCAAAGGCAGAACTTCTTAGTAAGCAGCAGCTATGTGGTAGCCCCATGCCAACCTTAATTCAAGTGATTCTCAGGTGATGAAGTTCATGAAAAGATTAAACAAGTCCTTTGATATTATATAGTCAGTAAGAAATATAGCCAGCATTTTACCCCAGGTCTCCCTGACACAAAAGCCGTGTCTACTTCTTGTAGTTTAAAACACAGTGCTTCAATTACTGAACATAGGGAAGTTGAGCTGGTGTCTACACACTCCTATGTACTTTTCATTTTTGGTACAGGAAGGTACTCTACATGCTACCAAACAGAAATGTAAACACCAACCCAGCCACAAGCCCTTTGGTCTATCATGCTGTTACGTCTGCACAACACTCTGCGGCGATGTTGGCATAAAGCTTGTTGGAGAAACCAACCAATATCTGATTTGATTTAAGGACCACTCCAGGAAATGTCCAGACTCAACACTCCTTGTGTGACTAAAAACCTGAGTCTCAGTAACTCAGGGACCTAGAATAAAACCAAGTTTTACTGTTCTGAAAAAGAAAAAAGAGCAATAAAATGACTCCTAATGATATTCTGCTATACGCATAGACCGGTTTCTTGCTCAGCCATCATCAGAGAACCCTTTTCCTGCAACAGGTGGGAATATAAAGACCCACAGCCAGACATTATATAGAGAGTGAGAGACATTGAAATAGCCATAAATAGGATGTCTCCATCCAATCCCTTCCCCCAGGGCCCAGTGAACACCACAGAAGAGAAGGCAGAAAGAATGTAGGAGCCAGAGGGCTTGGAGAACACCAAGAAAGCAAGGCCCTCCAAGTCAACATGAGCACAGCTCATGAGGATGCACCGAGATTGAGGCAGCATGCACAGGGCCTCTATGGGTCTGCACTAGGTGCTCTGCGTCTATGTTATGACTTCCTGTTTAGTGTTTTTTATGTTTTAGGCTTTTTTTTTTTTTTTTGGAATTCCTGAGTAGGTCTTTGATTCTTATACCCTTTGGGGACCTCTTTTTCTTCTATTTGTTTATTTTGTTCAATTCCAATTGGTTAGTTTTTGTTTTATCTTAATGTATTACAATTCATTTTTTATCTCTTAGAACCCTGTTTTCTAATGAGAGACAGAAAGGGGTGGATCTGGATGGGAAGAGAGGTGGGGAGGACACAGAAGGAGTAGAGGGAGGGGAAACTGTACTCAGGGTGTATTATCTGGGGGGGAGAAATTATTTTCAAAAAATAAGTAAGAAAAGGAAAGATACAAAACAAAACAGAAACCACAGTGCTTGTTTCCCATACCCCTTGGAGCAAGCCACCAGGTCTTTGGGCAGTCTTAGAGGTGCTCAGCTGGAAAGCGAGGGAGGTAGGAGACAGGCAAGGAGTTAGTAAAACCTGCTGATTCTTAGCTAAACATTTCTTTGATTCCAGTACTGTGACTTTGAGCTACCGCTTGACCAATGATAGTAATGTGATTACACAGAAAGCACCATGCTTGAAACCCACCATGTTCACCGTCCCGTTTCTGTTTCTTCCAGCATGTTGAAGGAGAGACACTTGCTGGAAGCAAAGAGAATCAAATGATTGAACTTCACTCATCTACCCAGTGGTCACAGAGCTGGCAGCCCTCCACACTCCAAGCCTCTACTCAGCTGGGTGTGGTGAAACTCTAGCACTTAGGAGGCTTCAGTAGGAGAATCTCATATTGAAGCTCTGACTGGGCTACACAGAGACTCTCAAAACAAAACAACAGTAACAACACCCCTTCCCTTGAAAAAAGATTCCTGACATTAAAGAGCCTGTTTTATCAGCTTAGTTTAATGGTTTATTTTATATAAAAGAAATATATTTTTTGATCTTTTTCATGGCAAATAAATTATTTCAATAATTCTGACTGGATTGCAATCTATATACTATGCCCCTCTAAAAAATATTGCAATAGTCTTTGCCACACAGAGGAGTGTTGCTTCTTAGCTAGTGAGCTTGTTAACCAAAAATGACCATCTAGATCAGGCTTTCTTAAACTGTTTCTATTCATTGTCCCTTTCCTTTGAGAAATTTTTATATGACTCCATGTACATAAAGTAGTTCTATAAATCAAACAGTTACTCATAATAAATTATTAAGAAATATGTCTCAAAATAATTCTTTTATACACAGATAATTCCTACGGTTCATAATTCATAGTTTTTCAAGACAGGTTTTTCTTTAGAGTAGCTTTGAGTCTGTCCTGGAAGTTGCTCTGTAGGCCAGGCTGGCCTAGAAACTACAGGGATTGACCTATCTCAGCCTCCTGAGTGCCAGGGTTAAAGGAATGTATTACCATCATCTGACAATTTTGATACATATTAAAAATAAAAAATCTGTATACTAAAAAGATATAGGTGCTTTCTCACTGTGCCAGAAGGAATTACACCTTGATAGAAAATTTGATTTTGGCAGGACACAGAAAGTCTTCACCATTCTCCAGAATTGACTATTATTTTGATTTTATAACCATCCATGCTGAGAATTCTACTTTATATAAAAATTTGCAAAATGGTAATAGAATAAAAATGACAGAAGTATATTTAGAGTCATTTCAAAGATTGTTGGCAGTTCTATCTTAATACCAATCCAAAACTTATTCGATAAATTTAAAAATAAAACTAAGTCAGTAAACTACTTTGTCTCTAAGCTGGCAGAAAACACTGTATAGATAATAAAAGCATTGTGATACATGGAATAGAGTAGTCTCAGGTCATCATTTGTTGCTGTTGTATACGACATGTAAAGTGTTAAATGTGCATGTTCTGTGCCCTTAGATCCAAGGACTCAATGAACTTGTGGGATGCAATACAGGTGAGCATGCCCTGAAACACCTCAGATTTGTTATGCATTGGAATTTAAATTAACTATTGGTTGTTCCAGATTCAGAAACCCTTCACTGCTGCAGTATTCTTCGAAACCCCTACATTCAGTTTTGTGCCCCACATGTGGATGGGAGCCTCCATATAAGATTAGAAGCTGGGTTTTAAATACTTATTGACTGGTTTAAGAAAGATGTTCCATCAAGGTTTAGCTGGAGGTGTTGGGCGTCAAACAGAGGGGCTCATCCTCCATGCATCTTTTTTGAAACTAACAAGGACAGTCAGTTCTTTCTTGATAAGAACATTGCTGCTTAGGACTTTAAATTGTCTTTCAAGTATTTACTTCAACATCTCCTAGAAGAAAATCTAGCTTCAGAGTTTATTATTATGTATATTGGTTTGCAGTGCACAAGACTAAACCCAGGGCCTTGTGCGTATTATGCAAGGACTCTTGCTCTACCTCAACTCTAAACTTAGTCTGAATGCACCAGTCTTTGCATGCTCTCAACTACCTTTTTTGGGGGGGGTTCTTTAGTTTCAATTTATTCTCTCCTTTTGTTGTTGCTGTTCCTGGGTACGTGATAATTTTTATTTCATGTGGTTGTGGTAAGCTAAGTATGAAAAATTAGAAATGCCAAAGTGTGGAATTTGATGAAATAAAGATACAAAGTACACCATGTTGTCATGTAAGGGAATGAGGTAGTTCTCTATATGGAATCACTTTCAAGACATATAACTAACATTTAGTAGGCAAAGCATAGAACAATATACGCAGTGTGCTACTGTTTGTATATGCATATACAGAGGTATATTCAGTATGCTTCTATGCTTTGTGTGGCCATGGAAAGACATTAAGGAAGTGATAATAGTGGTTGTCTCTAGGGAGAAATTGGCTGGGAGATTGGAAGACTATTCTGCTGTCCTATTATATAGTGTAACATGTTCATGTATTATCTATTAATATTTTTATAAGGCAGAAGGCAGAGCTATTTTTACTGAGATGGAAAAATATAAAAGGCATATTGTTATGTATAAAGAACAAATTATGGAATAGTGTAACTAGTATATGATCTGGCTTTTGTAAAGTAATCATAAATATATATATTGTAAAGTAATCATAAATATATATACATACATACTTACATCCATATATATACACACATATATATATGGATGGCAAACACTTGTATGTGTAAGAACGTGAACCAAAGTCAGGGGAGATAGGAAATGTGTGTTCAGGTATAGACTTTCACTTTTTTTATCCTATGCACTTCTGTTTTCATGCCAAGCACATCACACATCGATATACTAGAAATAATTCATAAAGCATTAATTAAACTGGACACCAATCAAAACTTTGCAGATCAATGTTTTGGTTCAGCTATTCATGTTGTATCTCACAGACTCAGGTCTGATCTCTTTCTCAATCTCCTCTTTGAGGCTTGCTGAATCTCCCATTCCTTTGCCCATGCTTTTCTCTGCTTCCCAGCATTAAGAGGGCCAAGCTAAGGTTGTCACTAAGAAGCCACACTAACACCGCTATGGATTCTCTGTCAACCACTTTCCTTTTAAATTAAATTAACGAATCTTTTGGAGACAGGCTGTCTTGAGGTTGCTATGTAGATGTTGATGACCTTGAACTCCTGATCCTCCAGCTTCGGCACCCCAAGCACTGGGATTTAAGGTGTGATGGGACCAGAGCTTCATATTCACTAGGTGAGCATTCTCCCAACTGAGTTACATCCCCAGCCACATTCATTTTCTTTGTAATTAATACAAAAAAAATGAGGTTGCTCAAATCTCTGTTTGCCGACTTTACAGTCTTCGCTTTGGGTTAAATGAATCACCCCACCTCTTTAGGAAGGTACCTAGGTTTTCTGGATCATTTATATCAATCATCACATAAGTCCAGTAAGGCTCCAATCTCAACAAACAAAACCCAAGAAACCCTCTTTGCCTCCACACTTCTTCCAAAAACTGCTCCATTTCTCCAACCTCGTGGTGATTCTTAAAATGTTTCCCTTACTTTTGTAAAGCCCCCCCCCATGCCCTCATTCACTTGGCATCCCACTTCTCTCACAATTTCAATGGCGACCAAATGTTCTCCCTAATTTCTGTTTTCAAGGTCATGGTATTTGGTTGCAAAATCGGTGGTTCTCATCTTCTCAATTCATTGATCAAATGCCTCCTTGGTCTTCATTTTTCCTTCTTCTCTTCTCCTCTCCTTGTCTCTTGGATCTCCCCCTATGTTACAGTGGTTCCTTCTTTATTCTTTTCACCTTGGAATGTTGGGTTTCTCATGGCTTCACTCTTGGAGACATCTGTCTTCTTGCTTTAAACTAATTTGTGTTTAACTCTGAATAGCATTTCCATACTGCTATCTGATCAAACTCCAACTTGTACCTAGACTTACAGATTCACTGTCTTTTTGATACTAATATTTAACTTTGTAAGAGCCATCTCAAACCTAGCAGAACAGATAGACCTCTTTATGTCGATAAATGACAACTCCATTGGAGTTTTCCTTTTTGAATATGACCTGAACCTAATTACTTTCTATAGCTTTCATACCAAAACCCCTGTCTAGCATCTGCACCAGTCACCTGACTTAGAACAATAGACTCTTGTAGAACTTGGCTCCTTAAAAATCTGTGTGTTTTAAATACATAAATTACAGCATATCATTGCTTTGCACAACATTCTCAAATGGTTTCTACCACATTCAGCATAAAATCTACAGTCCTTTCTATAAACTTTAAGGCTTGCAATGCCTCTTAAACTCACCTTTTATCTCTGATCTCATTCTATCCTTACCCCCTTCACTGTTTTCATGTCAGAGCAACCTGGCTGCTTTTGGCACATGCTTCCACCTCAGAACTGGTACTTACAGTATCTGCCAGGAAGACTCTTTGATGTGCTCCTTTCCTTTATCCTGCCCATGTGTCACCTCATCAGAAAATCTTCCTTGAGCACTGTGTCTGGAGCACTAGGCTGTCTCACTCGGACCATGTACCCCGATTTATTTTCTGTATCGCCTGATATGTTGCCTATGCATTTGACTAATATTTGCTTATGATTTATCTGCCCAAGAATAGACAAAACAGCTATTTTGTCTCAGTTAATACATCTCTAATATTCAGAAGAAAATGATTGTTACAGAGTAACTTAAAAGAATTTTCTGAGTTTTCAAAAGAGATGATAAGAGGTTCTCTTTAGCATATTTTCGTTACATGAAATTCTTAAGATGGTTTATTTTTCCATTAAAAATTTCTCCTGTCTTTAAGTTACAAAAAACTGTTTCATTTTTTTTCTTTAGAAACTATTGTAGACTCACAAATACTGGCAAAAGTAGTATAAATAACTCTATTTACTCTTCATCTATTGTTTCCCAAATTGTTTTCTCTAACCATCCTTCTAATTTTCTAAGCTCTAGTTTCTTCAATCTTTTACAATTTTATTTTAAAACACAGATTGCCAGGATCTCCCTGCCAACTCTTGAAAACCTAGGAACTTACCCATAGTAGACAAGCTCTATGCCATGTCTCCCCCTGACCCAATTCCCCTTCTTATTTTGTTGGTGTATTTTCTTCTACACCAGATTCAAATTCCTCTGCCAAGATGATGTATTATGCAAGAAAGGGAAAGGATATTTTAATTAAATGGGAGAAAATAGGTTTAACCAAAGTTTTTAATAGTTAAAAGAAAAAGAAGGAAAAGAAGAGGAAGACTTCCGTCTTTGAAGCACACTGTCCTACAGAGAGGTGACTGTCCTGCAGATTTTGTGTCCTAGCTTGCTTGCTGTGATGTCTAGAGACTGACAATTTTTAGGCTGTCCTGCCATTTATCTCTTATAGGAAGAGTTGATTAAAAAAAGCTCTATGGGCTTTTTAAAGTGTATATTTATATTTCTTTTTAGTCTCTTATTTTGTTCAGTTCTTGCCATTCACTTATTCACCAGACACTTTGTGTTCCTACTTGTCCAGATGAACAGTCTTTTTCCTCCTAAGTGGATCTGGGATCAGCATCACCTTTAAATCATTATAAGTATTGAAAGACTGAAAAAACTCCCATGGTCCAGGCAAGTCAAATATTAATTGAGTATTCCCATTGGATGGTAATCATTGAATAATTGGTTTTTCAGTATTAAAAAATGTTCAAGAGCCAGTGCCCCTTACAGCATGTCTGACATATAAACGAGATAAGTAAAAGTTTGAAAAGATAAGGCTGAACCAATGAGATGACTTGGCAGGACTTGGTGAAGATTCTGCCATTCACTTGGAGCTGTTCTCCCTCATCTATGTCCATAATTAGATGTTTTGGTCTTTTCATGGTGTCCCACATTCCCTTGTTGCTCCATTCTTATGCTTAAGAATTTTTTCATATTCCTTGCTTATTTTGTCTAGATCCTGTACTTTATCCTCCATTTCAGATAGTCTGTCTTCTGCTTGACCCATTCTACTTGTAAGGCTTTCCTTCAAGTTTCCTTCCTTCCTTCCTTCCTTCCTTCCTTCCTTCCTTCCTTCCTTCCTTCCTTCCTTCCTCCCTCCCTCCCTGGCTGTCTGTCTTTCTTTCCCTTTCTCTCTCTCTCTCTCTCTCTCTCTCTCTCTCTCTCTCTCTCTCTCTCTCTCTCTCTCTCTCTCTTTCCTTCTTTCTCACTCCATAGACCTGGTTGACCTCAAACTCACAGAGATCTGCCTGACTCTGCCTCCCAAGTGCTGAGATTAAAGGTGTCTGCCACCACCGCCTGGCTTTCCTTTGAGTTTTGTAGTTGGGTTATTGGGTCTTTCAATCCCATCTTGATTTCAGCTTGAGCCTTCTTCAGTGTTTCTCTTTGTTGATTTCTGTTTTCAAGTCTTGGATTGTCTCTGTCATTTTGGTCAGTCTTATGTTTATGTTTTTTTTGGGCCTCACATAGGCATGCATTCTCTTTACCTTTCTTCTCTTCAAGTTCATTGAGCTGTTTCTTTGTGTCTTCTTTAAACTCCTTGAGTTTTTTTAAAATGAAGTTTATGACATTTAAAAAAATTCTGTGCCTTGGGGTCATCTAGGTAATTCTCATTGGCAAACATTTCTACAGGACTGGGAAGTTTTGTAGAGGAGACACTGACTTGATCTTCCCTATTGTCTGTGGTTTTGGGATAAGGTCTGGGCATGTGGACTTGTTTTCTTAGTTCAGTGTCTGATACAGAAAGAGCAGGTTGGGGCAGAAGACAGCTTGTGGGCAGGTGGGCCTAGAGCCTGGAAATGGCTTAGGTAGAAGGAAGTCAAAGGGACACAGGGGACCAGGCTGATAGGCAGGATGTACATTCTTACTCATCACTGGAAGGTGGAGGCAGATCTGGGAGTTGGGGGGGGGTACATGGAGGGGAGGACCAGGCAGACTCACCAGGCTAGACACTCAAGAAGGACATGCAGGATCTGGCTGGGTGGAGACATTGGTTGTCGAAATGGCTCAGTAGGTTACAAGATAAAGGCACTTGCTGCCAAGCCTGAAAATGCAAATTCAATCCCCAGAGCTCACATGGCAGAAGGAGAGAACTCATGTCACCAAGTTTTGCTTTCTTCTCTTCATATGTGCCATAGCATGTGTTTGCCCAAAGTCATAACTCCCACCCCATTCACAAAGGCACACAGATAATAAGTGAATATTCAGAAAGTTTCTTTAAAGTCAAGACTTGCTGATTTAATAATCACTTAAAGAAAGACATGGCCGGTACATCACTAACCACTCAGTTAAAATGAGTGTGTATTAAGCGCCTCATAAAAGCCCATTCGCACACAATAAACATTGCTTAGGTAGCTGTCTGCCAGCGTTCTCCCACAATCTCCTCTCTGGTATTAATAGGGTGAACATTTGTCATTTGTCTGAACTGTTCCTACCTGTTGTTCCAGCATAATTGTTAATTGCAGCTCCTTTCCCTCTACAGAATCTTGGCTCCGATGATAAATTATATGGTCAATTCGAGTATTAGGGTCTCTGTGATGAATGATCAAGGCACCATTCCTATTTATTGGTGTTACCTTGTCACAAGCTGTGAAAACACTTTCCCTTTTGATTGTTTCTTCCTGACTTGTCACAAAGACCTTCACATAAAATCACTCTCTCCCATTAAAGTAATTATTGGGACCCTTTCAGTAATGACCACTTGTTTTCCCTTTCCTCTTGAGACTCCAAACACCAAATGCAGAGATTGCTTTTGCTGGGTCAAGATAAAAATTCTTCAGAGACACTAGCCTTGGACAGGAGAGGTATTGTCTCTCTAATCCACAGAAGTCTGAAAGAGACATTTCTCTCCTTAGAAACATTATCTTGTAGAAAAGGACTGAGAGTTCTTCCCAGTCTGAGATTTTTTTCTCTCCCTCTGAGATTTCTTCTTCTTCTTCTTCTTTTAGAGACAGGGTTTCTCTGTGGCTTTGGAGGCTGTCCTGGAACTTGCTCTTGTAGACTAGGCTGGTCTCGAACTCACAGAGATCTGCCTGCCTCTGCCTCCCAGGTGCTGGGATTAAAGGTGTGCGCCACCACCCCTGGCTTCTTCTTTTCTTCTGCTGATTTTTAGCTCAGAGAGTGGGAAGCCCCGTGCAGTATACATGGCTTCAGTGAGTCTCATGTATTGTGGGCTGAGATTCTTAATGTCTCTGGAATTGTTCCTGGGGGATGAGTAACTGGAAAGAGAAGCTGGGTGGCCCTCTTAAGGATGATCTCTGTTAAAACTAGTTAATCGCTTTGATTCATAAGAAAAGATGCTCTCCAGTAGCCAAGTGGAGCCTGGCTGCTGCACCCTCAGGTGTCTGCAGCTCCCTTTTTTGGCAGATGAAGGAGCAGTGCTCATTATGACATCTTGGAAAATCAGTCATGGCTTTCCTTACAGTACTAAGTGTAAAGGAAAGAAATAATGTTAAAAAAGTTTTTCAAAATGTGGAATCATGGAGACAAAATAAGTTGTGAAAAGACAAAAATCTAGTTTCTCTCTCCTCCCATCCTGGGGGTGGGGGGTGGGGAACTGATTGTTTTTACTGTTAATTGTTTTGCTGTTTTGTAATTCATTGGCAAGCTATGGAAATTTCTGCTGTTTTCTGTCTTATCAAAAACAGTTTCTGTTAGAATAAGTATTTTTTTTAAAACATTGTATTTAGGATAATAAATGTGGAATGACTTTATTGTTTTGTTTGTAGCTTGTTTGAAAAAATGAAATCCACTGAGACAAAGTGTCTAAGGTGTGGTTTTTCTCTTTCTCTCCTCTCATCTTTATCTACACAAAACAAAACTACTTGAAACTGTTATTATGTGCACAGTTCACTTCATCAAACACTGATGAACTTGAAATATTAATAGCACGACTTTGGTACTGATCTAAACAAATTCCATGCCCTTGTCAAAATGGAGAAAGAGACAGAAAAGTTGGAGTCCTTAATCTCTCCGTGATTCAAGAATTCAGGTTGGACAGCCCAAGGAAACTTAACAACAGTTTTCTCTCCCCCCCTTTAGATGTCAGCTCTACTCTCTCCTCCAGACTTTGCCTGCCCCTGTTGTGGAAAAGTTGATAGCAAACCTTGCAGACATCCTCTCCACAGTCATGACGATGGCTTTCTTGCTGAGGTTTTAGAGCCTGTTTATGAAAATTGGCCTGGGCAAATGTCCCTAGAGTGTTGCAGTGTTACGTGAATAGGGACGTTCCTTGACTTGGAAGCAGTGGCATCAGGTGGTTGAAGGGACCGGGGTGTCACCTTCTGGGGAGCCAATTCTACTGGGATCATGTTAGTGTCTCATGTGTTATATTGTACGCCAAAAACACTCACAGGGGTCTTACAGAATAAAGAGCTGTATAAGGGATGTAAACATTCAACTAGATCTAAGAAGAAATTAAAAGGGAAAAATTGATTCCAAAAATTATGACCTATTTTTAACCATGTTTGTGAACTACATATACTATATCTTCCTTGACAAGGTGAATGTGAATAGCCTGTGCTCAACTTTGCAATTCTCAAGAGATTTACTCACTGTCTTCCAGCCAACACAATGACAAGGTTTTAGTGATGTGCCAAATCCAAGGCTTGGGTGTCAGAATTGGGAAATCTGGGACATGAGCATTTGGCTAAAGAACTCGGGGTTCCTTGTTATTTTTGTTTGATGAATGGTTCACAGAAAAGCTTAGAGGCTGTCATAGAAACCACAAGTCTTTAAAATGAGAGGGGGACTGTGTAGGAAGAGGGGGAGCTAGTTGCGTGTTTGTGTATTTTGTTGGGAGGCATTTTACCTCTACCAGCAAGGCTCGTTTAAGAAGGGCCAGGAACAGTCCTTATTTTGTCAAGGCTCTGCCTCGCCTCCTTTGTACACTCCCCACCCCCACCTAGGCCTGTCATTTCATTATCTGCTCACTCAAAACCCCTGTACTGTGTTGTCTCACCACACAGACTGAACTTCCTAGCATATCCTGCCCCCTTTCCCATTGACATTTGCTTCTGTTTTCCAAAGGAACAGAGATTTATCTGATAATCTAGTCAGGATGACCCAGAAAAGGTACGGACAACTCAATGTACTGTGTCTCCTAAAGAAGGCGGGCTGCGAAGATGGGGTACTCTTCATGGATAACAGAACTTTTGCTCAAAAATGTGAATTCTCAGTTAGCTGTAACCTCAGCTGCTTATTCAAGTCCAGCCTGGGCAACTCCCAAAGACTGTCTCAAAATTAAAAGAAAAATGAAGAGGG